CGCGGGGGGGAGGCATGGCTAATTGCCCCGGCGCAGTTTGATCCGTGATTACGCGATCAGACGCGCCGGCGGCACACCATGGGTCCTTCCCTCGGCACCGGCGGCTAAACGAGGGACCGGAGGGGAATGCCGCACGCCGGCGCGATCACCCCACGGGCAGGCCGTGGCAAACGTTTACTAGTACCTTGGAGGTACTAGTTTTTAAATGCGCATAGTCGGCGGTAAACCACGGGTGCGCTCCAGTTCCCAGATGTTGGGGTGTGATCGCGCCGGGATAATCCGCCCACCTTCCGTGCCTCTCCCGCGGCAACTTTGCCGTGTGACCGGGGCCTTACATTCACTTTCTTACAACTTTTATTAGGTGTTTGGTACAGACACTAAATTATCTTAAAATACCACATAGCCGGTAAACAACACAAAGGTGGGAAAAGGGACTGTGTGAAAAGTATATTGACTGTACTTGGATACACAGACCCAAAAACAAAGCAAAACAACTTGCAGATTAAAATGTTTACCACCTCCTAAGAGGGTGTGCGTACGTGTTGCTTTGACATAACCACCAGGGGCTCAGACGTCTCGGTAACCCGGCCAGTTTCCACTTCTGCAAAGCTTATACCCAGAATTAAACTTTTATTGTTCTTAAAGGTGCCACTGGACTCAAACTTTGTTCTAGCACAAACCACAAAATGTGGTAGAAAATCCAAATTCTCCAGTCGTGTGTACTTGGATCAGGGAACTGGAGCCACATTCCTCAGTCTCTGATACATACCTCTGCATAATGTGTGTGTGTCTTAAGATTTATTTTTTAAGCGTGGATCTGTGAAACAACTATATCAGCACAGGTTTCACCATTACTGATTCAGCCTTGGAATTTTTTTTTAAAAAGTCAAGTTTCCTTTTCTGCAACAGACTCACATGTTTATCCTTAGCCTAGAAATGCCTGTTTTAAGCGAGTGAATGAGTATCGTTTAACACATTTTTCTCCTCAAAAATTTCTTTCAGGTTGGTGCTTGACTTTGACCTCTTGGTTTACAGTTTTGGCAAGTTCTCTGTTGTTGCTCCTACCTGGCTGTGCATGTTCTTGTCCTCTCTGGCAGTACCCTATGGCCTCTTCTGCCAGTGGGCCCAAGGCTACCATAATTCCTCTCATAAGACAGTCCGCTCCTTCTTTTTTGGAACACTCCACATGCTCTTCCAGATGCTTGGACTTGGACTCGGACCGACTTGGGTTGCTATGGCCTACGATCTTCCACCAGCCTCTGGGTTCATAGTCATACTTGAGCAGGTACGCTTTGGTATCTGAAAAATTAGCATTATTTAGCTCAGGGGGTTAGGAAATAAGCCAGTATTTTTTGATGATCTGATACTTACCAGTTTTTGATGATCTGATACTTACCAGTTTGGTGGTAGTGGTTAAGCGTGCGGACTCTAATCTGGGTGAACCGGGCTTGATTACCCACTCTTCCACTTGCAGCTACTGATGTGACCTTGGGTCAGTCACAAGCTTTGGCACAGCTGTCCTTGAAAAAAAGCAGTTTGTGTCAGAGTTCTCTCAGCCCCACCCACCTCACAGGGTGTCTGTTGTGGGGAGGGGAAGGGAAAGGAGTTTGTAAGCCGCTCTGAGACTCCCAAGTGAAGGGCGGGGTATAAATCCAATCTCTTTTCTTCTTCTCTTCTCCCTCCCTTATTTCCCCCCTTTCTTTCTTGCTGTCTTTCCCCCTTCGTTTTGTATTTTCCTCCATCCACTTGTTTGTTGAGTATAACTAGGGTTGTTGTGTTGTTGTTTTTTTTAAGCAATACAGTAGAAAGTCACTTAAGTCTGGAGGGAAAACATTGGCTGGGATAAAGTACGTACTCTGGGTATGTCTACCTGAAACAGAGGGATTGGAT